GCCATTAACAGACGAGGCCAGGTGTTGCTTGCTACAGTGAATGAAGCAACAATTATCCCTTTCATTAGCAGTCAGGTATGCTTTTAATGTTGTGTCTTTTTCTGTTTGAGAAATGAGAATTCTTTGTAGCAAATCATGATTTGTGTTTTTGTAGTTGAATAATCTGGAACTTGCTGTTAACCTTGCCAAAAGGGGGAATCTTCCTGGTGCCGAAAATTTGGTAAGTTAGATGTGGTTTTGGTTTATCGTTCACACAGTTAATACGATTTTGAGACTGCTATACTAATTTATTTTTCTAGCACATCTTTATCGGCGTATTATTTAAGAGTAAATGGTCTGTCTTTGGAATCCTTTTGGAATGATATTATGCATGATGCTTGTCTTGACTCTTGAGATCTATTTCTAGACTTTCTTATTATGAACCATGGGCACTGAACATTTGCCTCTCTTTATGTTTAGGTGGTCCAGCGATTTCAGGAATTGTTTTCTCAGACTAAGTACAAGGAAGCTGCTGAACTTGCTGCTGAATCACCACAGGGGATTCTCCGTACTCCTGATACTGTTGCTAAATTTCAGGTATATGTTAGATCTTGCATTCTTTACCTCTTTGGTTAGATTGTATTTTCCTTGGCATCTTAGTTCAGATAACTCCTGGGTGAAGGTATCCTCAATGTTTTCTATTATAACCTCTACGGCAAAGTCTTCCTTGTTAAGGCTGGAATAGTTAATGTGTTAATATGCTTATGTCACTTGTGTCTTGCAGAGTGTTCCAGTGCAAGCTGGGCAAACTCCACCGCTACTGCAGTACTTTGGAACTTTGTTGACAAGAGGAAAATTAAATGCTTTTGAGTCCTTGGAATTATCTCGCCTTGTTGTAAATCAGAATAAGAAGAATCTTCTAGAGAATTGGTTGGCAGAAGATAAGCTAGAATGCAGTGAGGAGCTTGGAGATCTTGTGAAGGTAATATGAAAGTTCAGCTTGAAATTGTTATGATGCCTTAATTATTAGTTGGTGTATAGAAACGTTTTTTTTTTTTCCTTCTTGTCTGAAATAGTTATTCACATTACAAATTGTAAGAGATCTCATTGGGAGGTCAGGGTGGTCAGCGCTTATTTATTTGGGAGTTTCTGACCCTGGTCTGGATGGTGCCTAGCTAGTGCACATGATTGGAAGGGTTTTTGATCTCAGGAAGAAATAAAATAAGTTTATGTTCTCAGTATGACTGTTCTCTTGAATTTACTTTGACCTGTCTGTTATCTTGTATTTCTGTAGACAGTAGATAATGACCTTGCGCTGAAAATATATATTAAAGCTAGGGCAACTCCGAAAGTTGTTGCTGCATTTGCTGAGAGGAGGGAGTTCGACAAGATTCTAATTTATTCAAAGCAGGTACTCTGTAGTTCTCCAGTTTTAGGTATCATTTTTACTATAAGGAAACTTTTATGAACATTATTAATTATTTCCACTTTTGATTGACCATGAAGGTGGGATACACTCCTGACTATTTGTTCCTGCTGCAAACAATTTTGAGGACGGATCCCCAGGTATGCTGATCTATAAGTGATGAAGGTCCTTTTATTGGAATATAACTGCAACCAAGAAAATAATTGCAACCAAGCCGGCTGGCTGATTAATATTGTTAGTTACATTTTGTTAGATGCCTGGTTAAGTGGGATTCAAATTAGTTGAGCTTAGTTAATATTGTTAGCTTACCCATCAGTTGTATAAATATTTTCAAAGGTCACTACAGTAAGCACAGATGAATAATAAATTGATTTTCTCTCAAAAATTCCCCATTCTTTCTGTCTAGCAGTCTCTTCTCTTTCAATTCTTTCCCCCAATCTCAAAAATCATTCTGTGCAACTTGTATCCATTTTACATGTTAGAGGTCCATGACCATAAGTTTTTTTTTTTTGGTTTAACTTTGTCTTATAGGGTCTTACATCTCAATTCAGGTTTGAATTTTTAAACTTTTATGGTGGCAGGGTGCTGTTAATTTTGCTTTGATGATGTCCCAAATGGAGGGTGGTTGCCCAGTTGACTACAACACAATAACTGATCTCTTCCTACAGGTGTCACTAGTCTCTTATTTATCTTTTACTTTTATTTTTGTTCAGTGTATCATGAAAATTAAAATTGGTACACGCTATTCAACTCAAGTTAAAAGGCAATCTCTTCACCTGTCCTTTCCCCCTCCTGACCATGTCTGAAATTCTGGCATTTGATAATGAAATGGAATTAACCTGTAATTATAAAAACTTTTGGTTTGCTTTTTGTCCAGAGGAACTTAATTCGTGAGGCAACTGCATTTTTGTTGGATGTGCTGAAGCCAAACCTACCTGAGCATGGATACCTTCAGACAAAGGTGTGCATTTCCCCTTTCATTTCTTTCTCTGCAATTTTTATTAATTTGGTTTCATGTCTTTACTACATCAGTCTTCTGGTCTACTCTCTTCAGGTTTTAGAAATCAATCTAGTTACATTTCCAAATGTTGCGGATGCTATATTGGCCAATGGTATGTTTAGTCACTATGATCGTGCACGTATTGCCCAATTATGTGAAAAAGCTGGTCTATATATCCGAGCCCTTCAGGTAAATGCCTCAAAGTCCTGAATATCCTTTTTTTTTTTTCTTTTTTCTTTTTTTTTTTTTAATCTTTTACAGGTGTAACAAAATTTCCATTTTCCATGCAGCATTATACGGAATTGCCTGACATCAAGCGTGTCATTGTGAATACACATGCCATTGAGCCCCAGGTTTTGCTATTAAAAGACTTAAATAAGTTGTTTTTTATGCAAAGATTATAGTTTTCTGATTCAGTGATATGATGCTTGCCAGGCTCTTGTTGAGTTCTTTGGAACCCTTTCAAAGGAATGGGCTCTTGAATGTATGAAGGATCTTCTAATGGTCAATCTTAGAGGAAATCTACAGATAATTGTCCAAGTAAGCATCTGTTTTTAAGAGCAATTGCTGAAATATTGTTTGTCTGTTGATGCTAAGGGAGACATTGCTTTGCAGACTGCCAAGGAGTACTGTGAACAGCTTGGTGTTGATGCATGTATAAAACTCTTTGAGCAATTCAAGTCCTACGAAGGATTGTACTTTTTCCTGGGTTCATACTTGAGCTCCAGGTTCGATTTATTTGTTTTATTCAGGCAGATATGATTTTGAGATTACATTATGCTTTAGGAAAATGTTTTCATTGCTTTCCTTCTGGGCAGTGAGGATCCTGATATCCACTTCAAGTACATTGAAGCAGCTGCCAAAACTGGGCAAATAAAGGAGGTAGAACGAGTCACTCGTGAATCAAATTTTTATGATGCTGAAAAGACAAAGAACTTTCTGATGGAAGCCAAGCTCCCAGATGCACGTCCTTTAATTAATGTGTGTGATCGTTTTGGTTTTGTTCCGGATCTCACCCATTACCTATACACAAACAACATGCTTCGTTATATTGAGGGTTATGTTCAAAAGGTACACTTATTTATATTTTTAAATGTTTTGAAAATGAAATCACTGTCTAAATCCTTTAACCCCACGTTAATTGAAGGGAAATGGTATAATTTTCATTTCTTTACTTGATAGGTAAACCCAGGGAATGCTCCCTTGGTTGTCGGGCAGCTGTTAGATGATGAATGCCCTGAGGATTTCATTAAGGGCCTTATTCTGTCTGTTCGTTCCCTTCTTCCAGTTGAGCCCCTTGTGGAAGAATGTGAGAAGAGGTATGTTGCTGCAGTTGGGGATCCCTTTTTTCATCTCTTTCTTATTTTCTTGTTCTCTTTTACTTAAATTTTCTTGGTGTGCAGGAATCGGCTTCGCTTGCTGACTCAGTTCTTGGAGCATTTAGTGAGTGAGGGAAGTCAAGATGTCCATGTTCACAATGCTTTGGGTAAAATAATCATTGACAGCAACAACAACCCAGAGCATTTTCTCACTACCAACCCATATTATGATTCACGTGTAGTGGGTAAATATTGTGAAAAGCGAGATCCCACACTTGCGGTTGTTGCTTACAGGAGAGGCCAGTGTGACGATGAACTTGTCAATGTCACAAATAAGAACTCGTTATTCAAATTGCAAGCCAGGTTTGTGTACTAGCGCTCTTTATTACCATCTTGTGCACATTATGATGGCATGATGATTCTGTTATGCATTTAGAGGTTAAATTTTTTGATGCTTTTTTTGTCAGATATGTGGTGGAGAGGATGGATGCGGACCTTTGGGATAAGGTTCTTAATCCTGAAAATGAGTATAGAAGGCAGCTTATTGATCAGGTTGTATCAACTGCTTTGCCTGAAAGCAAGAGTCCAGAGCAAGTATCAGCGGCTGTTAAAGCTTTTATGACTGCTGATCTTCCACATGAACTGATTGAGCTTCTTGAAAAGATAGTTCTCCAAAATTCTGCTTTTAGTGGGAACTTCAATTTGCAAAATCTACTGATATTGACAGCTATCAAGGCTGATCCATCAAGAGTAATGGATTACATTAATAGATTAGACAACTTTGATGGTCCAGCAGTCGGGGAGGTTGCAGTGGAAGCTCAATTGTATGAAGAGGCATTTGCTATTTTCAAGAAGTTTAATTTGAATGTTCAGGCAGTAAATGTACTGTTGGATAACATCCGGAGTATTGATCGAGCTGTGGAGTTTGCATTCCGTGTTGAAGAAGAATCTGTCTGGAGCCAGGTTGGCAGGGCACAACTTCGTGAGGGCCTAGTGAGTGATGCAATTGAGTCCTTTATTCGTGCTGATGATGCTACCGAGTTCCTGGCTGTGATAAAGGCAGCTGAGGATTCAAATGTATACCACGACTTGGTCAAGTATCTTCTAATGGTGAGGCAGAAGACCAAGGAACCCAAAGTGGACAGTGAACTCATCTATGCTTATGCTAAAATTGACCGGCTGGGTGACATAGAAGAGTTCATTCTGATGCCAAATGTTGCTAATCTCCAAAATGTTGGAGATCGCTTATATGATGAGGCTCTTTATGAGGCAGCAAAGATCATATTTGCATTTATATCAAACTGGGCTAAGCTGGCTGTCACCCTTGTAAAGCTAAAACAGTTCCAAGGTGCTGTTGATGCAGCTCGGAAAGCCAACAGTTCAAAAACTTGGAAGGAAGTTTGCTTTGCTTGTGTTGATGCAGAAGAATTTCGTTTGGCTCAGATATGTGGTCTCAACATCATCATACAGGTGATTTTCTTGCTCATTATGTTATTTAGAGCATGTTTGGCGAAGCTTGTAAGAGCTTTTACTTTTTTTGTACTGTTTATGAGTGATAAGTTTAAACTTTAATTGGAGGGAAAATTTAAAAGTTGCTTTTAGAAATAGAAAAAAGTGAGTAAGAAGTGAGTAAAAAAGAAGTGAGTAAAAAAGAAGTTTATAAAAAGCACAGATTTGAAGCTTTTCAAAATTTACTGTTTAAGGTCTTTTTAAGGTTAAAAAGAAGTTAAAAAAATGTAAGTTTGTAAGAGGGAAATTTAAACTTATGAAACATGAATAGTGTCAAAAAGCTGAAACTCTTACAAGCTTCACCAAACATGCCCTTACCTTCTTGTTGTCATGCTATTGTGCTTTTGATATAAGAGCATCTCCTCATTTTCCTGCTGGTGAGAGTGATAGATTATAGATGCTTGATATTTTCAGTATTTTATTATTTTCCAATGTGACTCTGCCAGTTCTTTGCTTGCATTTTTTTTTTTTTGGATGTTTATCTTGATTTATAGATTTTGGTTCTATTTAGAAGCAAACTTGATGTGTTTGATTTAACAAGTGCTTAAACTTTTTACTCTTTTAGGTTGATGATTTGGAGGAGGTCAGCGAGTATTACCAGAACAGGGGATACTTTAATGAGCTCATATCCCTCATGGAGAGTGGTCTGGGTTTGGAGCGAGCACATATGGGCATCTTTACAGAGCTGGGAGTTCTATATGCAAGATATCGTCCTGAGAAGCTCATGGAGCACCTAAAACTGTTTGCAACTCGTCTCAACATTCCAAAGCTCATACGAGCTTGTGATGAACAGCAGCACTGGGAGGAGTTAACTTATTTGTATGTTCAATATGACGAATTTGACAATGCTGCAACGACTATAATGAACCACTCCCCAGAAGCATGGGATCACATGCAATTCAAAGATGTTATAGTCAAAGTTGGAAATGTGGAGCTCTACTACAAGGCTGTGCACTTTTACTTGCAAGAACATCCTGATCTTATAAATGACGTCCTTAATGTGCTTGCCTTGCGCGTCGACCATGCACGTGTTGTGGATATAATGCGAAAGGTTTGTGCATTTCTGAGGTGTAATGGATTCTGCATCATGTTTTTGGGGCCTCTTCTGTTATCCAATACTTTTCTTTTACCTTTGCAAATTGATTGAATTTCAGGCTGGGCACCTACGTCTTGTTAAGCCATACATGGTTGCAGTTCAAAGCAACAATGTGGCTGCTGTAAATGAAGCTTTGAATGAGATCTATGTAGAGGAGGAGGATTATGACAGACTTCGCGAGTCTATAGATCTCCACGATAACTTTGATCAACTAGGCCTTGCTCAGAAGGTAAGATTATAACTCTTTGTAGTTACAAAAATTCCTTCTTGTGAGCTAGTACTTACAGTTTAGTGATTTGATTGAGCAGATTGAGAAACATGAGCTTCTTGAAATGAGGCGTGTTGCTGCTTATATTTATAAGAAGGCAGGGAGGTGGAAACAGTCCATTGTGTTGTCGAAGAAGGATAATCTTTATAAAGATGCTATGGAAACATGTTCTCAGTCTGGTGATCGTGAACTTTCAGAGGAACTACTTGTCTACTTCATTGAGCAGGTATGTTTTTGAATGCTCTTGATCTATCTATGAGTACCTAGGTGGTGTACCTTTTTCCGGTTCTACATCTATTATATCATACACAATTGTTTGTTAAAAACTGAATATCCCAATCTTCTCCACCATAGGGAAAGAAAGAGTGTTTTGCATCATGCCTCTTCGTCTGCTATGATTTGATCCGGCCAGATGTTGTGCTCGAGCTTGCCTGGATGAACAATATGATTGATTTTGCTTTTCCATATCTATTGCAGGTACTTTCTTTACTGCTTCTTATTTAGATTTTACATTAACATTTGAAGTTTTTAACCGTTTGCTTCTTTCATGAAGTTTATTCGTGAGTACACAAGTAAGGTCGATGAACTTGTGAAGGATAAAATTGAGGCTCTTAAAGAGGTAAAAGCAAAAGAGAAAGAAGAAAAGGATATGGTTGCTCAGCAGGTACCCCTTTTTCATCCTCCCTCAATCAACATATGGCAAACACATAAACTGCCTATTAATAATTAATGTTCAACTTTTTTTCAATAAACTCATGGTCTGCTTTTGCTGTCACCCACAGAATATGTATGCCCAGTTGCTGCCTCTTGCATTGCCTGCACCTCCAATGCCAGGAATGGGTGGTGCAGGGATGGCTGGAGGTTTTGCTGTGCCACCACCACCTCCAATGAGTGGGATGGGTATGCCTCCAATGCCACCTTACGGCATGCCTCCCATGGGTTCCTACTAATCTCTGGACAGATCTAGTCTAGTATACATTTAACATGGAATGCCTTACCTTCCACTTGGTGAAAGCTCACATTGCCTGATCTTTACTTGTTTGTGAGGTGTATTTTTTATAGTTTGATATCATTATAGTGGATCATAGAACTGAAGTGATGCTGCTTTACCATACTACCCTGGAATCTAATAGAGGGGTATGACATTTACTTGAGTAATGGATGTGATGTCGCTCTTCTGACCTTTCTCTGACAAGTTTTCACAGATGCAGCCATCGAATTTGCTTGTGATCGTGGCAAGTCTGCTGAAGTATAGATTTGTTTTAGCTTCATCATTATAAGTTTCCTTTGCTGATAATTGTTAGGGACATCTAGACTCATCCTCGTAGGGTAGAAAGTTTTGTACTCTTTTCCCCAATGTATAACAGTTTCCGCAACGTTTCTTTGTTTCTTTCTCTCTTTCTTTTCATTTCTTTTCTTTCTTTTTTCTTTATTGATCGCCATGTTGCATTTCAAAATTCATGTTTATGATGCTTTTATCGCACTGGGAAGTAAAATAAACACAGCTGATAGATTTCTTGAGTGAGTATGCATAGATAAGGAAAAATGGTGGTATTTCATTGTAAGCAACTAAAAGAAAAAAAAATGCAAATTATGCAAGCCTCTCCAACCCGGTTCAGGTTAAAGGTCACTCTTTTTTTTGGGACAGTCACCACTTTTGTCTGCTCCTATTAATTTAGGTTTTTTTCCCTTCTCTAACCTAGAAATTTTATATTTCTCTTTTGCCCTTCCTTTTTTCTCGCGTAATTTTAGAATTGTGGGGGTTATTTGTCAGTGAAAAAAGTTTAGGGAGTAAGCATCAACTTGAAGCTCAGTGGAGGGGCTGATTTGAATATTTTTCCAATAATCGTAAACACGAACAAAATAACGTGTATATATATAAATGTATATTATTTTTTATTTTAAAAGAAATTAAAATTTTAATTTTAAATTATATTATATTATTAGTTTTTTGAACAAAGTAACGAGGGTGGGATTCAAATTTCAAACCAATCAAAAATCAAGATGACCTGAACGCTACTTGACTGGAAGGGTAAGGTGTAATTATATTATTTTATTTAATAAAAATTTAATTTAAAATTTTAAAACTTATGTTATTAAATATTAAAATGTAAATTTAAAAATAAATTAATTTTAATTTTTAAATATAAATAAAAACTGTAATTTCTTTTAAAAATAAAAATTGATGCGCACTGAACTATACAATTTGTATAAAACCCTAAACCCCGCAATCTCCCCACAATAGACGGTACACAGTCTCTCGGGCAAAAAGCGATAATGTCAGGCAAAGAACCAGTTCACGAACACAGGGAGGACGAGGAGGCGCATGCTGCTGATGATGAGGACACCGGCGCTCAGGTTGCCCCCATCGTCAAGCTAGAAGAGGTCAACGTCTCCACCGGCGAGGAGAATGAAGATCCAATCCTCGACATGTCTGTATCGTCTAGTTCCCCCTGATTTGTTGTCAATTATTCTATGAATTTCATGATCTGTGACCTGTTTCTTTTTGCTATTCACAGGAAATCAAAGCTTTATCGATTCGATAAGGATGGGAATCAGTGGAAAGAACGAGGCGCTGGTACTGTGAAGCTGTTGAAGCACAAAGACACCGGCAAGGTTCGCCTCATTATGAGGCAATCCAAAACGCTCAAGATCTGCGCTAACCATCTTGGTCCGTTTCTGATTTTGTTCCTTTTGGCCGTAGTATCTGTTATCTTGTGGCTTCTATTGTGATATTTTTGTGTATTTTTGCAGTGCTGCCGACAATGACAGTGCAGGAGCATGCTGGGAATGATAAGTCATGCGTGTGGCACGCGACTGACTTTGCCGACGGTGAATTGAAGGATGAACTCTTCTGTATTCGTTTTGGATCTGTTGAGAGTAAGTAGACTGACTTGTCTTTATTAGTTTTTCTGCTAATAAAATTAGGGTTGGTTTAACATGCACCTTAAGGTGCAATAAATGTACCTTTTGTAATTAATTTATAGAAAAAAATTTATTTTAAACAAGTGGTTGATTTTAATTAGTTAATTGATTGATTAATTCAAAGTCAATATTTATCCTTTTTAAGCAAATTAATTATAAAAATGGTGGCTATGTAGGGACAATTTTTTGTACCACTTTTTTATATAACTTTTATACAATCATTAAATGAATGGATGCACTCAATATAATGATGGATCCTAAATGAATAAAAAGAGCTAATAATTTAAATGACACGTAAGATTGTATATAAAGTTTGTACAAAAAAGTTCTCTAAATTATTTTCCTTATAAAAAAGTGCATTATAGGTTAGAAAAACCCATGAAATTAAATTGATGTTGAGTTCTTTTCTTTTGATTCCTTATTCAATAATTTGATAATGACTCTTTATCTATTGAAAGCAACATTTGAACTTGCATCTTACTTTTCTTTGAGTATACATATTTGTATTGGATATTTTGCACAAGTAGTGAATTGCAGATTTGCAACTTAAAAGGCAGGAAATTGTGCTTTACTTTTTGGTACCAACTACCAAATTGATTAGAGTTTGAGCTTAGTCACTTGTATAATGTGGTAATGGTTATTTTGTGTAACAAGCAATCATATTTCATTGCTTGGATTTGGATGCCTTTCTCATTGAGGCTAAATTGTTGGGGTTTGTATTTTGCCTTATATTCTAGTGAAACTAGGGCTTCTAAGAAGTGTAAATTTAGGGCTGTTGGTGCTGTGTAGTGACCTATAATAGTGATGCATTATAGATTGGCCAACGATTATAGCTATCAACTGAAACAATAACCCTTTGTCCTATGATTAGCTAGAACTGCAGGGTATGGGTGTGTCAAATTGTGAGCTTGAGATATCCAGCATTCTCTAATAGATGTTTTATTGAATCTGGTTGTGTGTCTTCTTCTTTCCTGAATCTGGGACATTCAATGTAAGACTTACATTGGTTTTATTGCTGGATCTTGCCACTTGCTTATGCCCTTGCTTGTTTTAAAATCATGTTCTGTATTTCATATTACATAACATTTTTCTAATGTTTAATTGAAGCTGTTTGTGTGTCTTCTTTTTGTGAATCCTCTGTCTAATGGACATCCAATGCAAGAAGCTCTTCATTTTTGTTGCTGCATCTTAACTCATGACTTTTTAAGATCATCTTCCTTATTTTCATATTACGAGGCATTTTCTTAATCAATTGGCGGATAAAGGTTTCCATGCTGAAAGTAATCAGAGAGTAGCCTTTAATGCAATGGATAATATTTTGGTTTCGTTTTAATATGGCTGTGTATGTCTTAAAATTCCTTTTCTACTTCTCATTGAGTCTTTTTATTTCATAAATTAGATTGCAAAACCTTTATGGAAACATTCCAAGAAGTTGCTGAATCTGCTGAATCTCAAAAGAGCAGAGAGGAAAACAAAGATGCAACTGCAGCTGCGGGACTTCTTGAGAAGTTGAGTGTTGAGGAGAAGAAAACCGAAGATAAAACTGACGATAAATCTGGGGAGGAGAAGCCTGATGTAGTAAAGGAGGAAAAGGATGCAAAGGATGATGTAGTTAAGGTTGATACAGAGAAGAAAGAGGAGCCATCTTCCAAGTAAGATCGGTTCTGTTCTGAGTGCTGCATACTCATGACAATATAGTGGTGTCAGTTGTCCAATCTCATGTCCTAGAAGGCTAGAACATCCCGCGGCGTAATCATGCTGGTGTAACCATATTTTGGGTCATTTTGTGGGCCGGGACAGCTGTGGTCTTTGGTGTCCTGTCTGGGTGCTATAGTCAATGTTGGGTTAAGATTATATTTACTATGTTTACATATTTTTTACAGATTGAAAGAAGTGGCGCAGGCTTCAGTTATTATCTAGGGTTTATATATATATATATATATATATATATAAAGATTACAACTTTGGTTGGTCGGTGCTTGCATCAAAAACCCAGTGTAGAAGGTAATAATATTTTTGGGGTATAAATTTGTGAAGTTGTGTCGTGTTGTGTCTGGATTTCTTTTATGTTTGAGATATTAAAGAAGAGATTGTCAGAAACTATCAATTTATGAGATTGCTTTGTGTTGTCTCCAAAATCTCCCTTTCTGGCTGCGTGGCAGATAAGACTGCGAAGGCGTGCCACTCACTTTGCTCAAAATGAGAAAGAGGGATTCCCGGTAACCCTCACTACTTCCAAGCGTGGAACTCGGTTGCGAGTCGATGGAAGAGCACCGGTTAAATAAATTATGAGGTGCGCCCTGGTTAAACGATTGTCACAGAAACGGGGGTGCATTTTTGCATAAAGGTCCATAAATAATTGTCCTGGAAGAACATCAGGGACTTCCCACAACTAGGGCCAAAATGTTAGTTTGTTGATTAAAATAAAAGAGGAAAATAAAGGAAAGGAGAAGAAAGAGAGTGCATGGCGAAAAAACTAAATTGCAAAGAAAAAGCGTGATGCCGCCGCGAAAGTATGAAAACGTTGAAAACGAAATAGAAGCTGAAGCATAAAACTAAACTTAAAAGAAACTAGAAAGATGAATTTTGGGAAAAAGTGTAGTAAATTGAATTGCAGGAAACTAAATACATCAATGGAGATGTTCAAAACAAAATAACAAAATTCAGAGTTGAAACTAATGGCAGCATAGAGCTA